CCCCCCCGTCCTTTCTTGAAATAATTACTTAGGTAACATTAGCACTGGATTTGCGTATTTCTTGCCACGATTCGTTTCTAAATCTGTGATGATTCTCTAATCAGCAGGGTTATATGTAAAATTTGAAGTTCCATTGAATTTATATCTCAGTAATGAGATTTCATACTTATGTTAGTCATAAATCTGCCTCGAGACCTGAAAATCAGAGATTTTGGCGAAAACACGTCGCAATTTTCTCAGAACCTTCCAACAACACCAAAGAGACTTTGAAAGTAGATCTTGACGAGTTCTCAATATTTCACGGTTTGTTTGTTCCAAATAATCCTTCCTTTGGAAAAGAAATTGCTAATTAGTGAGGTATTTATTAATTTTTATGTTTGTTCCGATTCGTCCTAATTCTGTACTTCAGCTGAGTGAGTAAGTTCTTGAAGTAAGCATCGATGTGTTCTGTTGAAACAACCATACACTGCTTAGCTTATTTTAAACCATTGTTCATCACAAAAATCAGTTTTTATTTAGTTGGTTTCTTTTATTTGTCTTAAATTGTTGAGCTTCTTTCTCGGTGCACTCTGTATTATTGTTACAGATGAAAAGAAGTAGAATATTTTTTTAATAGTGCTTCATCACACTGAATAGGCATAGTTAAGATAGGGCTCCTTTTCTCGGTAATTGATAGTCAACCAAAGAGCTGACCAACTTTAAATCTAGCTCTATTAAAAAGTAAAGCAAGGATCCTTATTCAAATAGAGTTTTAGTATGAGATAAATGCATACACATGAACTTTAATGCGCGCATGCGTATATCACTTATTTAATCCAATGATATGGTTCTTTTTCGAACTGTGTTTCTGTTTAAAATTGAGCGTTTTTTATGATAGAGTGAGTTTATTTATCATCGCTCATCTTCTCAATCAGATTCTCAGAAACATGTATAAACTGTTTAGATTCGAATACTGGCATGACGTCAACAGTAAAATAAATTTCTGTCCGTCCAATTACATCACTGTTGATTGAATCGGAATTTATCTGGTTATATCAGACAAATGAGCATGTTCACGATCATACACGACACACGAAGTGAACTCCTTATACCGATTAAATATCATCAAGTTCGGAGAAAGCCTTTAACAGTGGTATTGATCACACATATATCGACGAACTAAATCACATTGATTTCAACGAGTTTGTGTAAGTGCATATTCTAGGCTCTATGCAGAAACGACGCATTCTGCGATGTAATCGTAGAATATCTATTCATAATGATGAAGGACATGAGGTTCAAACAGCTTATCGGTAAAGACTATCATTTTTGTTGAATACAGGTGGTAAAAGTAGTACGTCAGTGGATACAACTTATCATGGCTCGAAATTTGTTCGAGACTGGGTATTATCATTCACACAAAGAAAATAAAATGTGAAATTCAATCTTATCTTTCCTGCTCTTATCAACGGCTTGAAGCATGAAGGACTTGATGAGCCAGAAATTACAGACAAAGAAATTATATGCACTTTGAAGAAGTTCAAAGATGAAACGCTTAAGAAGAGAGAGTAAAAAGTGAAAAGCTACAAGATTGTTGCGCCAAACTGTATACAAAACAATGCTTCCTGTTTCCTATTGTCAATACGACATTACGAGACGATGATCGAACTAAATTAGAAACGGTGGACTCATACTGTTATCTAGTTTACAATTATATTGGAAGACGGATAAAAGAGGGTCATTCATTCAACCGCTTACACAGTCAGTGATCGGACGTGTTTTTTTTTCTTCACACAGCTGATACACTTTCATTTGTTTACATATCAACCGCACTCTTTTTAATCTCCCCCTTTTAGCTTTACTTTACTTTTATTTTCTCCCCCCCCCTCTCTTCTTCGTCTTTCTCTTTCTCTCTCTTCGACCTATTCTTTACCTACAGTAATGATAGGCTCCGATGAGTCATCGAGTGAGAACTCTGATAGTTCTCAAACGAAAACCAACAACAAATCTAAGACAACTAAATCCAACCGCCGTATAAATCCATTGACGAACCAACAAACCACCAATTCCAATTTCAACAAAAATACTACCAACCAAATACACAATCAAATCAAACAGCATTCACAAGCACAACCAATCAATGAAACATCAACCAATCAATTATCATCAATACATGAATTTGATAGTGATCATTTTATTGCAAAATCTAATACAAGCTTCCCTCCATACTCAATTGTCTTTAAACATCCACAAGACATTGATAAAGCCCCAGATATACAATTAATTGAACAATTTATAATAGAATGGAAAAATAAATATAGTACAACATTAAACATTACCGGTAGATTTGGACATGAAAAAAGTTTATTAATTTTTGCCAACGATGAATCAAGTTTTGAAGATCTACTAATGGAACATAAATGGCCAGCACATATAAATGAAAAGGATTTTATCCTAAAGATACCACGAATTCTACCTCCTGCATATTCGTTAGTAATTCGACAGTTTTTCAACACATGGAACATTGAAGAAATGCTACAAGTATTAAAACAGACATATCCATCATTGATAAAAATAACAAGAATGTTTTCCACTGACAATAAACCTCTAAACCTTGTACGTGCAGATTTCAACTCACTTCAGCAAGTCAAAAAGCTTCTACATGAAGGTCGTATTACGACCGGACATATAAAAAACATAATCAAGCCATATTACCCACCTACAAAAATTAACAAATGTATGAAATGTTTTAATCATCACCATACGACTAAAGATTGTAATAGTCCTTTTCAACTTTGTATCCGATGTGGTCAACCTCACCCTTACAACAACAACTGTCAAAATGATATTAAATGTGTTAACTGTGGTTCAGATCATTATGCTGGTCACGCTGCTTGTCCCGAAGTACAACAAATTAGAAAACAAATACGTTTAGATCAAAAGGAGAAACAAACACAGCTACTAGTAAATTTAGAAAAAGATCAATATAAACACTATTCGTACAACAACCAAGAATTTCCACTTTTATCGACACAATCGCCTTCTCAACAACAACAAACTATGACACCAAACAATCGACATACATACGCATCAGTAATCCAAATTCAACCATCACAACAACATCATAAACATCCCCTCAAAAAAGATCAACTTCAGATTCACTTAGACAACATTCTAACATCATTTTCAAATAAAATGGAACTTCGACTTCAGCAACTTGAAGAACGAGTAATTGATCAAATTACTGAAATAGAAAAGAAATTAGATAATGCAAAGATCTTTGTCTCGGAACTTGAAATTATTATATTTGAAACAATTTTACCGGCAATCAAAGCAATACAAGATTGTTCCTACACCAATACAAGAAGCACATCCACACGTGAAGATCTCACCAAATATAAATGTGACGTAGCAAATTTATTAACAAAAAGAAATGGCAATCAATTAAACTCAAACACCACCAAATCATCACTTAATCACGTAAAACATCACTCAAAACCAACAGCAACTCAAAATAAAACTAAGCCTACATCTCCCTCAATCAATAATGAAAATGAAAGCACGTAAAATTACTTGTACTACAACAAATAATACTGATGAAAAATTCAAATCAATGTGTTCAAATTTATCAAAGTTTCAAAAGAAGACTAGCCGTGCAGCATTTAACGAATGGAACAATACAGCAAATAAACGTAAAGTAATCAACAAATGGCTACAAAACGAAAATCAACCAATTACTCAAACAACTCCTCTATCAATCCTTCATTACAACATTAGATACTTTTATTCAAACCAAAGTGAATTATTGGACATCATATCTCGTTTCAATCCAATGATTATCTCATTAAATGAATTAGGAACGTACGTATCGGAAAAAGCAATCAAACAACACTTATTCTCGTACAATATTTTTACAAGCAGAGGCACAAATTCACATGGTGGGGTCGTACTTGCAATTGATAAAAAATTTAATGTAATTCAACTGGATATCAATGAACTAAATATAATAGCGGTTCAACTTATTTATAACAATCAAACATATCTTATAGTATCAACTTATTCACCACCACAAGAACCCTTACCATTACAAATCATGTCCTTTTTCATAAAAAACTTCAAACATATTATAATTGTAGGTGACCTTAATGCAAAACATGAAAACTGGGGATGTACCTCAACAAATCAAAAAGGAAGAGACCTGGCAAATTGGCTGGATAGTACTAACATGCTTGAAATACAAAATCAAGGAATGAAAACGTCTTTACGATCTAATACAACTATCGATTTAATATTAACAACTTCAAATCTATCAATATCTCAATGTCAAACACTTCCATATAACTGTAGTGACCACCTACCAATACTTTTCTCATTAAATGAAGTCCTAGTGCACAATGGAACGTTCAGTATCACAAAAACCTATTGGGAAATTTACAAAATTCTACTAGTAACCTTTCAACCTTACATACAACAAGAATATGAATCAAATTTTTCAAACAATCCCACTGGATGGTTTCAATTATTTCAAAAATTCTTAGTTGCAGTTAAACGTAGAGCAACAAACCTGCACACAGCTAAACAACAACGTCCTACGATAACACCATCAATCAGAGCTATGATCAAACACAAGCATTATCTACAAAACAAGTACCGGCACAGCAAATCGGAAGAAGATAGAGTAAGACTACGCTCATGGAGCAAACTGGTCCAACATGAACTAAAGTCCCTGACACAAACCAAATGGATGAAATTTATTAATCAAGTGGCATCTCCGAATCCAAAGAAATTTTGGCAATCAGTTAAATGCCTTAACAAAAACAAATCCTGCACCTTCTCAGCAATCAATGAAGACAATCAAATTTATAAAACATCTGAAGAGATATTGAATATTTTATATAATCAATTCTCAAAAAGGTTCACTGCCCCTACATTAAACCCCAATAACACCTTAGATACATTAACTACTGCTTTATGGAGCAAACTATCAAATGGTGATCAAAATGACATCGAATTAGTATGTATAAATTCTGACTTAAATTTCAACATAAATGACCTACGATCAATTATAAAAACCTTAAAAAGCACAAACTCATCCAGTTTTGATGAAATAACCAATAATATCGTGAAAAATATTCCTGAATGTTACTATTCAATCATCATCTCCGCATACAACTCGTTATTTAGAAATGCTTCTTGGGATGTCAGTTGGAAACAAGCAAGAACAATATGCCTCAACAAAGTAACTGATCCTGCTCCTACCACCAATCAACTTAGACCTATATCGTTACTTCCAACGTTTAGTAAACTGTACGAAAAACTGTTCCTATTAAAGTTCAATAAATGGCTTCAATCAAATAACATTTTACCAAATCAACAATCCGGTTCAAGATCTCATCTAGGTACGTTAACAAGAGTAAATCACATCATTGAACAATTAAATCAATCTCTAAATCACAATACTTTTGCGGTGGTGGTGTACGTTGACTTCCTTCAAGCATTCGATCGTCTTTGGCATCAAGGACTTGTCGCAAAACTCCACAATTTACATTGTCCACTTGCATACCTATTTTGGATCATCAACTATTTCAAAGATCGTACAATTACTATTGATTATCAGGGTAGTCTATCAAAGCAAGTCTGTGTGTCCAGAGGAGCCCCACAAGGATCCTGCTTTGGACCTGTAGCATACATTGTGAATCACTATGATCTACCAATGATCTTTAACAATCCTCAAGATATTCATCTATACGTAGATGATTTAGCCATTATTTACTCTCCATCTATCTATCTGAAATTTTCAAAACAAGTAATAGAAATCCAATCTAGAATAAATTATGATTTACTGAAACTTGAAGAATATGCCGAAGCCAACAAGCAACCAATAAACATTAACAAGACCAACTTCGTCATATATCACAGAACAGTGCAAGTACCGAAAATACAATTAACTTATCAAAATCAACCTATTGTAAGACAGAATTCGTTTAAATACCTTGGATTCCATATTGACTCGAAACTATCCTTTAACATTATGATCAACAATCAACTAGTTAAATTAAGAAAATCTTATTCAATATTAAAATATATCCACTGTGCCTTTCCCACCTTTTTTGAACTTAAAATGAAATTTTTCCAGACTTATACATGGCCTCATCTATACATGCTTGCTTCTATTTATTGTTTGTTCTCAAATACTAGTAAAAATCGAATCAACTCATTTTACAGACGTTGCCAGAGACTCATTTACTGTTCTTACAGAATATCAAATGATACCCTTCATGATACATTAAAAATACCAACTCTAACTGATAAATTTCAAAGATGCTTACAAAAAAGACTGAAGAATATACAATCTCATGAAGAAGAGTTAGTAAACTGCTATTTACTCTACAAGAAAGTTATAAACGATTTAAGTGTACACTACAAAATCAAACCATTTATTCCTAGCCTTCCAATTGGTAGACCAAATAAACGAATTATAAAATTAACTGAAATGGACAACACCACCTACTTCGATAAACTATGTAACTTTACATGGGCAGCCTGATCTAAATACACAATTTCGCACAATGCATATAAACAGACTGAAATCAACAAACTCTCCCCGTTCATATACAAACAATTTCTTTCACATGTACACTCAACTCATACAACTACACCTGGTAATACACACATCTCACCCAAATGAAAATTTCATCAGACCACACCAAATGCCGCGTCAATATACAAGCAGAATCAAGCATTAAAATGAACGTAACTTCTCTAGTACTGCATAATACTCTCTTCATTTGTTCTTCTCTTCTATTCTCTTTTACTCTTCTGTTATTATTTTCCTAGTATCAACTTATATAATTAGGCTGTCAGCACCTTAGAGGTGAATTGGCCTTCATAATACAAAAGCTCTATAAAAAAAATAAAAAAATAAATAAAAGAGGGTCATTCTATTCGCCGTCGTCTTCTAGAAATAGTTGATCCAGCTGAATCTCAGTCTTTAACTGTATACCGTGGTGATACAGTTTATCACGAAGAGATTGAAAAATATCGACAAGCAATTGGACACCGAGATGTTTACTTTAAATGGCTTCTATTTGTTTCGACGTCGCTCGATCGTGATGTTGCTAAAACATGTGGACAAAACGTTTTGTACATTATTGAATTACGACGTTATTTATCTAATGTTCAATTTACGTATTTGAATAAGACACATATATTGAAAGCGAAGAGGAAATACTGCTAAGGCCTGGAGCTTGATTTCGTGTAATCAAGGTAGATTTCGACGGCATTTCAAAACGACATTTAGTCTATACCAAGATTATTCCATCATATATATCATATTTGAGATAAAATACTGACTAGGAGGAAGTAACTGGTTCTATGGTAGCAATGTCTTCCTTATATAAGAGAAATGTTTGAGTGAATAAAGAATAATTATTCATCTTGAATGTGATGATAAAATCACGAATACTCTTAATAAAATGTTGCGATTGAGAAAATGATACACATGAACTTTGGTGATAGTAGATTATTTGTCTAGTCGACGATCTTGTCTTTGTTCTGCCCAGGTTCTTACTTTTCTTGAATATCAGACAACATTCTTCTTAATCATAATATTCAGGCAAGATTCTTCGCGAGCGGAAAGAAACAAGATTCTTGCCAGTTATGCAAGAAAAACACAATCTTGTCTGATTGATCAGATAAATAAGGATCAGGCAAGAATTACTAGATATTTCAAATTTCTTGAAATTCAGACAAGTTTCGTTATTTTATACGCAGCGTCGTCAGATGGCACTAGTAACCAATCAATTTTTCTGTTGGTAAATATAAAATAGTCGAGGAGTTGTTTTTTATAGTAATGGTACTTTGATCCAATCAATTCACTCAATTTTATAGTTACAGTTACCGGATTCATTGAGTTTGTCGAAAATATGTTTCAACTTCTTTCTCATCCGTAAAATGTATATATTTGTGGAATTATTTCATTATTTATTTCTGAAAATATGATAAAACAACATCATAATATGACTAATTTAAATGGCTTTGCAACGTGAACAATAGATCTAAGTCCAATATTTCTTTTTCCTATTATGGTGAACTTATACGATTGTTTCAGTTTTGTTGACAACTTTAGCTAAAATGTAATTTCAGATGATAGTTAATAAATATTATATCATTGCTGGATATTGATAGTACAACTGAAATAATTAAACAGTTTCTTTTTCTAATCAATACTCTTTTATTTCTAGATAATTTTTTGTTGTTTTTAATAGATATTTAACATTAACCCATGCACGTTCCTATTGATTTTAATTAGAAGCATCATGATAATTTCATTTCAAGTTTTTCTACTTCTATAGCACGTTTTAAAGCAATACAAGAATAAAGACTAATAATACTTAGCCATAAATATCGAAGATACATAAATGTTGAATTGAAATTTAATTTTAATTCTCTACTTGAACATTGATCATAAATTGAATAAAATGTTTCAGTTAGATAATCGATTTTACCATCAAACCATTTTAATGTTTGAATTTTGTTCAACTGTTTTAATTCAATATACAATACATTCGGACATATTCGAATATGTATTTCATATGTTTGAATTATCCAACGATAGAACAGTTCAAATCCGAAGAGTAATATACCAATAAGAATATGCATGATTAAATAAAATCGTGTATAATGTAAAGACATGTTATATATTTCTAAATTGAATAGGCGCTAAAATGTTTACTGTTTCTATGTACTTTTTCAGATATGGCCATGCAAATGTGTAACAGACGTGTCACTCAAGTGACGACAAGTTTTGTTCGACAAATTGCTAAACCATTACCAATGAAAATTGAAGATGATCATCATGAAGCTGAGCATACGCATATTCCTGTGCCAAAAGCATCAGCACCAAAAACATTGTTCTCAATGAATAAACATTTATTGAGAGGAAACGTATCAATTGCAACTGGTCTTAGCAGTATATTATTGTATTTTTTTCAAATAGAAATGAATATTTTTGTGTCTGTTTTTCTAGCTGCTCTTAGTGTTCGCCATGCGCATACTGATATTCAAGTGCCAAATTTTGATTTTTATCGTCGAAAAGCACGCCTTGATGCATCGAAATCATATCGAGATGCTGGCGATGCCGCTTCACCTTACTCATATTTAGCTCCTGTGGGTGCGTCTATTTTTCATTAGCTAAAAATTTATGGATGATCCGAAGAGTATTGTTAAACTTATTAGTTGTTGTATTACAAAGATTAAAGAATAAAAGCCGTCTTATCGTTTTGTAAATTTGCATTCTAGGGTGAAAATTTCTTGAGCCTTGAACAAGAAAATTTGTCTATATGAAACGGAATATTTGTCTGACTGAGTCATCAAAAGTTTAATTGTTTTTTGTATCACATTAGACGATACATCATTACTCTATCAATATGAGTTTTCCCTAGAAATATGTAGAAAAAAAAATTATTTTTTCTTAATTCAGGAGTAAATCCTTATGTAATATAGATCTTTTATTTTTAAGGTTTGGCTGTAACATCAGCTTATATGGCAAAATATATTGTTCGAGATATAGCTGCCTATGTTGGTCCCGCTAGAGATGTCATGTCTCTTGCTAAAGTAGAAATCAGTCTTGCTGCTGTTCCTGTAGGCAAAAATGCAGTATTTGAATGGCGTAATAAACCAATCTTTGTTCGTCATCGTACACCACAAGAAATAGCAAGAGAAGAAGGTGTCAATGTTACTCAATTACGTGATCCACAAGATGACTCTGCACGAGTACAAAAACCTGAATGGCTTATTGTTATTGGTATTTGCACACATCTTGGTATGTTTAACAAAAGAAAAACGAGAACATATTTTAGTGCATTTATTTTTTAAATTTATTTAAAGGTTGTATTCCAATTGCAAATGCTGGTGATTTCGGTGGTTATTATTGCCCATGTCATGGTTCACATTATGATGCTTCGGGACGAATACGTAAAGGTCCAGCACCTCTCAACCTTGAAGTTCCCCAATATGTATTCAAAGATGAAAATACTGTTGTCATCGGTTAGAAATTAATGCCACGACAAACCAGCCCGTTCCTTTATTTGTCACTTCTTTTCTGGACTAGTTTATTATATTCTTTCGCATAAAAAAGGAATCATACAACCATTCATGATTTTGGTTTT